CAAGTAGTCGATTTGTCCTCGAACGAAGCCAATCATCGTCGGTGGCAGCAGCATTGGTTGGGGCAGGCGTAGTCTCGTCCTGAGGCATGACTTCCGTCGGCTCAGAGACGGGGTCAGCATCAGGCATCGCCTCGTCCTTTTCCGGCAAAGGCTCTGTACGACCATCTCCCTGTGGTGCCTCCCTCATCTGCCGTTTCTCAGGCCGAGACGGGATGGCCTCATACTCATCGTCACTCTCGTCGTCTTGAAGCAACTTCTTCTGCTCTTTAACAGCGGCAGAGGCCATGACATCCGACATTTCGTTTGCAGAGCTTTGGCCAGTACCCATGACCTGCAAGAACTCGCGCAGCTTGGGATCCGATTCATCCAGATCCTCTCGCTTTCGCTTCTTCTTCGCATCCTTCTCGTCACTAGCAGGGAGAGGGGCAACGGATGCTGACGGCGTTGCCACAGACATCTGGCCGCTAGTGCCCTTTGCCTTTGCAGGGGCAAGATCTGCAATCTGGGTAGATAATATGAGTATATGGACATGTCTTTGTTTACAAGGTGACGATGTCAACATACCGGTCTTGCAAGCTCAACGTTGATCCTTGACATACGGATGTATGATCTGTTGAAATACTTGACTGCCTTAGCAGCAACCTCGGGAGTTTTGAAACCGACATAGCCGATTCTCCGTTGAGGAATAATTTTGATATCTGTGACTTCACGACCTCCAGCTGAGAAGTGCTGTCGGAAGTCTGCGTCTGTGATTTTGGGCGGAAGACCTCTCACGAAGATGCGAGAGGTCTCCAATGGAGTAGCTTCGGCGGCGCTGGCAGCCATTATGTGAAGGGGTATCTCAGAAAACAAAATAAAAGGCTCCAACAGTAGCAAGAAGAAGAGATGATGAGCTCAATTGCTCGGGGGGTTGTGGTGGCTATAAAGGCAGAGACATGCTGTCGTGTAGTCAACAGAGGAAGACGGGAGAAGGCCTTGGTGATATTCAAGACGGAAACGGGACTTGCCTTGAAGTTTTTTTTTCTTCCGCCCCGTCGTTATCGTTATCACCATGTGACCTTCCGCCCCGCCTTGTCAACGCTAGCGCAGGTTACAGCCGTAGCCGTTTCCACCCCGGAAGGAAGATTATGGTCCGTGCGCCCATGACAACCCAACTCGATCGAATGGACCCTTCCCTGTCGCGGGCACTTTGTCAGGCTTGCTCCAAACACGCGACAACCACTCTTGAGAGAAACTCGTAAACCAAGCCAATTCCTCGGTCTAAGGATTTTCATGTAAGTCGAACCCTCCGCGATGTGCAGCAAATCATTGACACTCTCGTCAGAACCTCGATCCCTATAAGTGAGTTTCTCCGAACTAGACGAAGGCGCAGCAGTGGACGAAGAGTTGGAAAAGGGGCTTGCGAGTTGTGCCGCGTAAACCGAACGAATCATCTGGACCGAGGCTGACGACGAGATCGCAAGACTCAGATACTTTTGCAGCACCACGAAATTATACAATGGCCGACGCTAAGAGCACTTCGCCCGCTCCGCGCGAGAAGCTGGAAGGTACGTTGCGACAATAGACTGGGTCATCTGTGCAGGAACTGGACGAGGATAAGGTTGAAGACGAGGCTGACGCAACCGAAAAACAGCTCAGGTCAAGAGCGCCGACATGGTGAGGAGCGCCGACGGACCGCCCAACTGCGACCCACGATACTGACAGTGTATAGACCGAGGACATGCAGCAGGAATCCATTGAAGTCGGTATGTAACGTCATTCCTCGGAAAGCCCCTCCGTAGGACCCCGCTGTGTTCTGACGACCCCTCCATAGCTCAGGAAGCCATGGCCAAGTTCACTATTGAGAAGGTACGCGTCCCCAATTCACTGAGAACATAGCGTACGACATCGTTTACTGACAAACATGATCTCCAGGACATTGCCCAGCACATCAAGCGAACCGTGAGCCTACCGTAATTCCTTTTATCGCCTGACTGCATACAGTTGCTAATACTTGCGGCGATTTCAGTTCGATGAGCGCAAGGGACCTACATGGCACTGCATTGTTGGCCGCAACTTTGGCAGCTTCGTGACCCACGGTACGTCTACCAACAGCCCAACGTCCGACTTCCAGCCGAGACAGGAGGAGAATGCGGGGCATCGAACTGGACATACCCTAATCATATCTAACCCGGTATACAGAAACTAAGCATTTCATCTACTTCTACCTCGGCCACTGCGCGATCCTTCTCTTCAAGACCCAATAGACGGCCGAACGACCAAGCCGAAGAACGAAAATTAACCGACAAATTACTGTCCAAAGACTTGGGACCCCGCCCAGGGACGACGCGTCGCAGATACGATGTACAGGACATACCTTCAAATAGGGAGAGGGCCCGCGACTAGGCCGGCCTCATATGGGATAATGGGAATATGAACTTGTGGAAAAAGGCGTGTGCGGGAACTGCTTCTTTCTTGGAGGGGGAGAGATGACTGTCAACCAAAACGAGGGGTTCAAAATGCAGCGTTGGGCGAGTAGATTTTTACCGTGATCTTCTGCTAGGCGGCGCTGGAGCCCATTCGTCAATCAAATATGCTTCAAACGTCATGGCTCGTAACAATTGCTGTTAGTAGGGCTTTGTAGGCTTCCTTGCGCCAGCCAGGCATTTGGCGCCTCCCGAAGCCCTGTTGAAATGCGGAGTGTACGATTATAGAGAACTTCGTGGTTTCTGGGAGGCTGTTTACGATCGGCGTATTCCCAGGGCGCAAGGCTCTTTTTAAGGACAAAGTCTCGATTCACTACAGGTGCTTCAATTTGACCTCTGCCGTACCTTGCGATGGATGGTATGATGAAATACTGATTGACGGAACACAAGATGGCATGCGCCGTGCTCACAAAATTGATCCCAAGGCCACGGTGAGCAAGGTGACAGTGATCATGTGCTGAATTTAGCAATAGGAAGAGAAATCGTCAGTTCTCTCAAATGTTACCCAATATAATGCTCTTCCCGGACCTTGACTGGACGTAACGCATTGAGATGTGAATGTCTAGAACATGCCCACGACCTTCTTCGAGAATGGTATAATGAGAGAAGTACAGAGGTGTAATCTTCCATCTATATGAGCCTCTATTCAAAAAATAGACGCGCGTGTACTTCTCTACTCTCACAATATTCCAATTGCTAGCCAATTCAATATCGAACAGAGGTTACAATAGCTCCGGAAATAATTGTCTTGGAATAATCGCCACTACGAATAACTGTAACTTCTTTGATAAATGTCCAGAGCATCCGTCCACCACATTACGATACACGTCCGCAAGTGTGTACCCATGGAGATATCATCAGGAGAGATAACCATCCGTTTAACTACCTCCCTTCGGCACGTCAGACCCGAGCTGCATCGCGGGTCCTCCAGACTCTCTCTCGATCAAGAGGCAAAGGAAGGGAACCGCGGTCGAGAGCCTCGTTTCAGACGACCCCTTTCTCTGGCGAATCAGCACCTCCAAGGCCGTTGTCCATGGGGATTTCTCATCCGTCCGACGGCTGTCTGTCTCCCCCACCCTTCTCTCCTCAACTCTCTCCGGATCTGAAGCCGACAGGACGACATCTTGTGAGGATGATTCATGGGACATTGGTATGTTCAATCCGTTTAGAGTGACCATCTCATCCTCATCCGTCTTGCCCCTTTGCCTTCAAGTCTCTGAGATCCGAAGTCGAGACCGGAATCTAGGATGTACCACAATAGCGAGGAAGCAACACCTCACGACATAATCAAACGGCTCAGGCACAGGCTTCTGCCTCTCCTCCATTCTAGGAATCAATTTGACAAAAACAAGGGAATTGCTACTGGGCTGGGTACCACGGCGCATGTCAATCTTGTTCAACCCAAATGTCTCCGTCTCGGGACATAAAACGAAACCGGGGCCCATGCTCATTTTCGTCTCAAGTTTTCCTTAGCCTCGACGTCGTTGCCGTGGAATAAATTGAGTACGGATCGACGCAACCAAATTAAAAAAAAAAGAGACTTTCTCCATGGAAAAAGGGTTGTTTTTCTTGTAACAGTATGACCCAGCATACCGGGTGGGTGACCTTTTCCCTTCCTCGGCCGAGACACACACACACACACACACACCCACACGCTCACGGGGAAAGGGGAAACCACTTTGCTGAAGTTGCTCTCACTCTCTCTCGCTCTCTTGTTACAGAATGTCAGTAAGGGGGTTTTGTTATGGGATGGGATCGACATCGGCTTCCCGTGCCCACCTTTCATCCACTCACTCGTGTTATCCGAGCGAGAAGTCTACATGCCATACGAACCAGTCTCTGGGCAGAGTTAAGACTTGAATTGATTCTGAATTATCAACAACCGCAATAAGACACCAATTTCCAACCGAACCTTTTTTCCTTCCAGGAAGACCAATTCGGAAAATCGCAGCTCGTACGGGAGTCATTCTCAATGAGGCGGTGTCTGTCATTCGTTCTTCCGAACTTCAACAATACGTGCAGTGCAGCCCCCGGCCCATGGGCACTTTTTCGTTCCGTCAGTTCTCCACAACGGGTGAGTTGGGAACTTGGGGTAACACTCAAAGTGGCACTTCCCTCGAGAGGCGCTGCCAGGCACCCAGCAATAGCAGGTTGGGGTTTCTGTTCATGTCCAGGTTCCTGGCTGGTACCTCCCTCCAACCTTGCGTACCTTTTATGGATAGGTAGCCAGCAAAAGAATTAGTATCCGTACGTATCTAGCCATCAACAGGCGTAACCCAAGGAAGCGGGCCCTCTCACCTGACACCAGAAGCGGCTGGCCCTCCTCCTCCACCACCCCAAGATGCCAAGGTGTGTAGGTACTGTGGTAGGTACCTACAGAGTCCCGTCCCTCCTCCCAAGGAGTCCCCTCCGCTCTGCGGCACCCGCGCCGAGCCAAGACACAGACATGCGCTAGAGCCCAAGAGATCACACGCTAACGTCGACCTAACTAACGACTTGTTGTTCTACGGATGGATACTCCGTACGTATACTACACTACTGCGCAGTCTTGCGCTTGGAGGGGAAGAAGAAGAAGAGGGACTCGCAGGTGAGGGCAAGGGAGGGGCAAGAGCGGAGGGCGATAGCCCGCTTTATTTCTCGGCGGCCGGTGGCTGGCTGCTGCCGGATCGACATTGATGAGCGGGCTGCGGGATGGGCAGACGAAATGCAACGGGGTTTCGTTGAACGCGTGCAGTGGGGAGAGAAAGACAGAGAGCGACAGACCACGTTTTTCTGGAAAGAATGATCTGCAAAGGTGCGTTTCCGTCCCCTTTCGTGTAAGAGGACCTTGGGGGTCGCTGCTGCGAATCTATCTGTACCTATTCAGAGGTGAGCTGAATCCGCAAACATTTGAACCAAGGGGGAATGGGACCAGAAGACGAAGCACGCTGGGACAACACACGACTCAGCTCCCACTTGGCAAATATCCCACACAGATAGACGATGCCGTTAAGCTCTCCCGCAACGAAATGAATCAACATAACAAAGTCTGCTGGGGTGCTTCCTTGACAGATCATATCACCTTCCGGAAACTTTCTGATATATGGGCGCCCGCACCATGCTCTCCCGATATGCAAAGCGCGAACCGCCAGTGCGTGGGCAATGTGATCCGAGAGCAGTTGCCATGGTGGGGGGAGGGATAGGAAAAAGAGAATCGTACTGCGATTCACCGCGCTGCTCCCTCCCCCTGCCATACGCACGTTCGAATGGCCCTGGCGTTGCCTATACATGATGCACATGAGCCGAAAGCCATTGAAGGAATTGAGTGCTTTGATGAAGAAGCGGGGTAAAGACCAATGTGAATGAAGCCATCGGCGGAAACTTGAGCAATTCATCTTTTCGCCCAAACCTTTTGGTGTCGTTGCAGATTCTTTGGGGGGCTGGGTGATAGATTTCCGGCAACCGGTAACTGGTTTCGGACGTTGCGCGACGACATGGTTGGCGGGAACGGAACGACCATTCAAGTAGGCACTATAGACGAGAGGCGAGACCCAGGGTGTCAGCCAGACCACCACCATCCTATTCAGGGTCCTGGTGGCAGGGGACAATCTGCTGGACGATCAGGGCCCTGGTCAAAAGGGTATTTCGAGCGAAAAGCATCAACCCTTCTCCGTGACGACATGGCAATCGTCTTCTTTGCAGTCCGCATTGCTTGTCGGCAAAAGGCGAGTCCCTCTCGTATCGGAAGGAATGTAGGTTCCACAGGTCTTCGTCAAGAGCCCCAGGTATCCTGTTTGAGGCGTAGAGCTGAGCATCTCTTTCTTGTCGTTTCTCGGGTGAGTGGCCCTGATCAACGGAGCAGCTACGGAAGCAGGCCGGAGTGCTGGCTGGTCCATCATCCGCCTCTCCTCCTCCTCCCCACCTCACAAAACACCTCTGTACTGTGTAGTCACGGATACTTGGGTTTGCGACGCACAGGACAGCACCCGGTCCTACTTTGTCCGAACCATAGAAACCCATCTGTCTGGCTGGACCGGCTGGAAGGTTTCTCGGCTGCATTGGTGTCTGTCAGCCTTCCAGCACACACCATATCTAACAATGTTGGTCGATGTCCTGAGCGGTTCCTGTGTGTAGCCGTCCTGTAGGTAGATAGGCCCGGTAGGCTTCTCATCATCTTCGGATGGAGTAACCGTTTTTGGTGGTTTTGTGTTACCCATGCGTGTAGCATGTCTCACACTTTTTTCTTGCTCCGGCTGGCTGGACTCCAAACTCCCGAACAGCTGGAATGGGACTCACTCTATGAGGGATCAAATATTTGCGTCGCTTAGCATGCCTGTAGTACTCTCCTTCAGCTTCGCCACATCGATTGTAGCCATTGTTCCGGGAGTTTCCTCTAACTCGTCGACGAAAAGGAAGAGGGATCGAGGGCTGGAATCGGCCTGCAACGCACGGGTCTATCGACTTAGCTACGGCATCTAAGGCCCAAGTTGGGCAACGGGGCGGGGAACGATGCATGTATCGCGTGTGTACCTACACCCATTCGGCTTAATCGCCATCCGCCATCTCGACTCGGCAACGTCTCGATGAGTATCCGTACACCGGGCCAGTCCGGCCCTTAGAATGGGATGCAGCTAGAAGGCTGGCCCACACTTGAAGAAGGAGAGGAGGAAGCTCAGGCGCGGCATCGGGCCCAGCAGGTTGGAAGCACTGGGGTACAAGGTGATGAGAAAATACTATGAAGCAGGTCGACCCATGAGGTCTTCGCCACTAGTACGACGATGGCCCCCGATATCAGCAGTCCGCCTGTGATAGTTGGCAGTGATATAGCAACTGTGGACTGTGAGGTTGATGCAAATGTACTGGCTGGTAGGCCTGGGCATCCGAGCTCCGTTGCAGGGTTTGGAGCTTGCTCTCCACATGTGAGCTGAGATGATCCGCCAGGTGTCAGACACTCAGATCGGACAGATGGGTAAAAGAATACACAAGTGCCGCTGAAGGTAAAGACGGACGGCAGCTGCTTTTGCGCGGTCACAGGTATCTTATGTCATCCAGTAAGCTGACGTCTCGTTGCATTTTTATATTGAACTTGGCTGTCATCGTGTTGTATTGTCGACGGTCAGGCAGTTCCTGGCAAAAAATCAACAGAAATATTGCTTTCGTAGTCGTTGCTGGGAGGGATTGCTTGGGCAGCGTCTGATCCTGTCCTTGTTTCGGGGGAAACACATATGGCTCTCATTGACCACCAGTGGCCCAATTCGAGGCTTTCCTGTGCGTAGTCGGATTCGATTGATATGCGTGCTCATTCACTGATCCCCTGTGTAACTTGCTACCGTTTCTCTGCCGCCGGTAGCGGGTTTCCTGCTCTTTTCCGGCGCGGTTGAGTTTGTATGAAGAAGACGCTGACCCATGTTTTCAGCAACAAGAGCCCGTTAGTGGCCAACGGCCTCGGCACCTTTCTGTTTTCTCGTTACAGGACATGGATGGTCACGGCATCAGTGCTCAGGGTGATTTTGACACTCAAAGCTTCAAACGCATTACCTGCAGATAGATTAAAGCGTTGCTAGAGGCAATGTCGGTATCCAATGATGAAGCACTAGACAGAGGCAGAAATTAGACGTTTATGCTGTTTTCAGGATGCTCCCTTACGTTCTCCATCAACGTCCGAACTTTGACGGTGCCCCATGCTTTTAGAGGTGGGGTTGTTGTCTGCGATGGCCCTTGGGCTTTGTGGTCGGTTTTCGAAAGCAGGCGCCGAGTCACACGGAGAAGACTCTACGGATAGCTCCACAATAATAATAGTGTGGTTGACTTTGCTTGTGGTGGCTGTCGATTTGGTGTAAACAGCCTTGTGATGTTGATGATTTCCTGCAGTGCCAACTTCTCGCAAACGATCCGATACCTAGTAGATACAGTCAGGCAGTCTTTGGAATCGGTATTCCGCGTGTTGAAGGGATCTATGGATGAGCTACCAGGGGCACGAACGTCGGGGGCAGGGTGATTGGCGAGATCTTACTCTATATTCTGTGTAACCAGCAATCGTCGATGTTGCCGTCGTTCTGTGCTAGATTGTGCTGCACACAGCGAATTATGCTCAGGTATGGCATTGTCCGGCCGAAGCCCAGTAGTCCGTGCTGTTTGAAGCCACGAGTACTGGGCCATCGCAGTTTGTCGCAGTTGTCTGGCGTCTGCATCATACTTCGCTCACAAGCCGGGAGAGGGTCCCTGCTTTCTGCAAAAGTCGTTCGAGGTCAAATAGTTGGTAGATGGGACAATACGTGGTGATGGCAGGCCGACTTTCTCGGACGCGATCTTGGACTGAGTAATGTTCCGGAGGGAGAATTGCTGTATACCAGCGCCAGTATCGTACTCACTGGTATAGAACGTACAGGTCCTCGTTGATGGCGCCGAAACAAATGCATAAGGTATCCGTACCTGGCATGAAGCCAGTTTGGGTGCCCGTCTTCCATTGTCACACAAAAGCGTGGCAGGTGCTGTGGCCTTGTGTTCTTCCGCAACCCAAAGGAGTGAATATTAGCGCAACATGTTCGCTACACCAAACGACACCGATCCGTCTAGCCTCCCTCTAAACACTACAGTACAGTCGAGATGGGTGGGAGTCGGTAGGCTGCTGGCTGCCACGCTGCATGCCGTACTGGCTATGTACCTACCTGCTGTGCGTTCGCCATTGTCGAGTCAAGGTGAAATGTCGCGCAGGTAGACCGAAATGCACCCAGGTGCGCTACCTACTATTGCTGAAGTATCCCTACCTTGACGTCCGTCGCCAGGGAAAACGGCAAAGACATGTTTCAGTCGAGGTTGAGACAATGAGACGCACCGACCGAGACAAGCAAAGAACGGCTCTATCTGGCAGGCAAGCGAGACTTGCAGTTGAGATTCAGGCTCAAGCCGAATCTCCAGCTGCCATCTGCCGCCTCCCCTGACGTGGAGTACAAAATGCAAATCAAATCCAAATCAACCTGCATGTGTAGCAAGCCTGTCAGCTAGAGAGTTGCCCATATACGGTACGTACACTGCTGCGTAGCGATCGGCCCTGCCAATCGCGAGCTTCGTTCGCCTTACGCCATGCTCTTGGTAGTGTAGGTACGACAAAGCTGACCACGAAAGCAACCAAGCCAGTCTGGAGCCTTGCTTGGGGAGGCCATACGATGGTGAGTGTCATTGGGGGCTCGGGCTCGTACCCAGGCCGTGGCGCTGTTGGCTCCTGGCCTGACCCGTGATCGTGATGGCTGTAAGTAGGTACTGCGTCACCTCGGACGAGCGCCCGTATGAAGGCCCGCGATAGCTTGCAAGTTGGCGAAGCTTTGCATGCCGGCCCGCCAACATGGGCACATATTGCGAAAGTCGACGACTGTGGCCTGCCTGCCCTTGAAGAAGTGGAAACTGGGAAGTGACGTGACGGGAAAAGCCAGCGGATCCGAGGACACAAGCATGATCCATCATCCCGCACCAACCATCCCACGCCGTTTGAGTGCTCATTCTGGCGGTTAGGGGAAACACTATTTCGGCGTTAGTCTGGGCCCGATGATGAATCCGATTAAAGTGACTTCCCTTCCCGCGGGAACCCGGGTAGCCACAAAGTCGTGTCCGATGTTCGCTGCGTGTGTCTCTCTGTGAGTGGTACGGAATATGAAGAAACAATGGCAGAAATTGCAATTGTAAACGACGTCAAGAGTCGATGGCGGGCAGCTCGTGGTGAATGGACGACAGGGGTCTTGGGCGGGCACGGCGGGATAGTATTTGTTTTTCTGACTTGTTCTTTTCTTTCTCGATCTCTGTGAAAAGTCGTCTGTAGCATCGTTCACCGTCGACGATTTGGGGGTCTTCTTTCTTTTTCTTCATTCCGGGGAAACACCAGCTGGGTCTCAAGGCTTTGGAGGCTTCGGAGGCGTTGTCGAGGAAAGAGACATTGGCAATTGAGGTACGTACCGATATTCGTACCTACTGGTGTTCGTACGAGAGGAAGGTACGAAGACCGCATCAAAAGAATGGAAGGATCGACTGGGGTTCCCGATGTACCTTCCCGACGCCTCCGTACTTGCACTTGCAACAACATACATTTCTAGACGGGATCCACTCCGAGATACCCACAGGTAGGTACAGATACTGCAGCGGTACATGACCTCGTGGCTGCAACCAAAAGTTAGGTATGATTCTCCCGCGCCCCCAGCAACCCAGCACACTCGCGCATCGTCACCCAATGTGCCAATCCATCCACTTGGGCACTGCTGCTTCACTGGTGCTTCAATGGCAGGTGCAGGTGGTAGACGGAGGTGTACCGCCGAGACTGAAGTGAGGGCAGGAACCAACAATTCGATGACCTCCTTCCGTTTATCCCGTCTCTTCCATTGATCCTGTCGTCCGCCTCAAATCAATCCGTACCTTGCGGAATAATTCTACCAATCCTCCCTCACCTTCTGTCCTCTCCCACGCGCGTCTTCGCTCTCATTGGTTTCCTTCAACACTAGAGTAATCCAGCCGGGATGTGCATTCTGGTCTCCCTTCAGCCAACCCAACTCTCAACTTACTGGAACTTGGATGCTGTCTGCCAATTAACCATCCGGTCGCCTACCTATGCGGATGCCTCTTCTGCGCCCTCGAATTTGTCCGAATGATGTCAGAGTCTTTGAAGAGCCTGGCATAGAGATACAAACACCGGCGGTGACTTTATGTGTGGAAGCACCAAGTAGACTAGCGGTAGACTGATCAATGGTCACAGTCACACTCCTCGACGATGGGACACTGCAGCAAACAGTCAAGTGACAGCGCAAGCTACTTGACCCATTGGGATCCTCATGAGACCCGCACCAGCTGCAGCATAGAAGGTCAGGTACGGCCGTCCGTCCGTGACTCCATTTGAAGGATGGCGAGGCGACCTACCACAGTAGAACGTCTGCACAGCACATGGGCTTCCCCTCATCACACCTAGCCGCTGCATCTCAATGACTGCTACGTACACAACCGCATTCCGCCATGACACCGAAGACGGCCCAGGTCAATCTGGATGAACATGGCTGAAGTCGAATAGGTCGGCTTGGTCG